GGGAAATTGTAGGCTTGAGAGCCGTGGGCTTCTTTTTGGCGGTTATTGAGGGTTTGACTGTCTTCTTTCTCTTGAGGGAAAAGGGAAAAGATAGGCTGGAGGCCCTACGGTTGCTGTTCACTGCAGCCGGCTGGGGGTTCAGGGCTCGGGGTGCGTGGGGAGGGGGCTGCCCCAGTTATCGACCTCCGGGGCACATAGGGAATTTGGGGGCGCTGTTAACAAGGAAAGTGGAGTGATTTAGGCTTAGCTTATTAAATAATTTTTGATGTTTTCTGCCCGAGGCCCTCCCTGGTCTAAGGAAATTGGCCTAGGATTTTTTTCTTTAACTGGGTTACGGTTACCGTGGCACTGGGGTATTTTGAAAGTCCCTCTCCACCCTTACGTCTTTTCTCTGCTGCGCGGCTCTTCCCTTCCTCTGCTCTCCTCCCCCCTTTTTATGTTGGAGGCTGGAATTGTGGGCAGGTCTCCGCAGTTGTCCAGGTCTCCAGTTCTGATCTCACACACAAAATATTTTAATGATATTGGGACTTTTTTTTAGAAGTTTGGGTACTTTTGGTACTCGAGGAGTGTTGGTGGTTATAATTTAGTCACCATATGCTCGTGGATGTTTAAAATTATAAAAAGTTCATCCTAATTGTAAATGAAATGTTTAGTTCTGACAGTATTCAATTTTTTTACGTTTTACCTGTGTCGAATGGCAATTAGGTAGGAAGTATATTTTAAGCTTGCTAAAAACCAAAAATATAGTAAAAAGATCTGGTAGCTTGTTGCATACTGTTAAAGGTAGACGTTTTAGATCATTCTAGATAATTTTGAACACTTTACGTTTTGTTGGTGTGGTACCGTTAACAGACTTACTTATTTTTTAAAGACCTGAAGGAAACTTTTAAATAGTAAAAGTTGTGGTTTATGTATTAAGTTCTCTACCAGAATTAGAAAGCTTGAGTTTACTACCACTCATAGTTTTCCCTCAGATATGTACAGAATATGCTTGGTTGTCGAAGTTTTTTGTGATTTTTTTTTTGTACCCCTTATGAGAAAGACATCCACATACAGATATAAATTTAGAAATCAGTTCATAGTCCTGACCATTTAACCTGACCCAAACTTTTGTAGAATGGAAGTTAGACATGCATGTTTTCTGTTTCTCCTAAGGTTGTCTTTGAGTGCTTTCTAAGATCATATGGTATATACAGAAAAATGCAAAGTTTTGAACCAATACCTTTGGATAGTCTGAACAAGATTTATATGGGAGCTAATATATTGTGGGTGGATGAAGATATAATCTCTGCTTATTTTAAAATGTAGTTAGATGTGCTGTCAAAGTTGATGTTTTAGTAGTATAATTTCTAAAATCCAAGTTGTTAGAGTTGACATGGTTTCCAGCTGTGTAGTTTTGTTTTGGATCTTGATAATTTATCATTGCCCCCTTGGCTTCTTGCCCCAGCCTTTTAACAAGTACACTGAGTTGGGGTTAAAGCTGTTTTGGTTATTTATTTATTTATTTATTTTTATTAACACTATAGGTGGGGCTGGGGATTTAGCTTAGTGGTGCCACCTGTCTCCAAAGTGCAAGGTTCCGAGTTCGATCCCTTGTACCAAAAAACACTATAGGTGTTACATAATACTGAGAGAAACTACCAAAGAGAAATATTCAGGGATATGTAAAAGGGTACTCTCCTATTTATTGATTTTTTTTTCTTTTCATCTTAAAATAAGGACATTTTTTACTCCTTACTGGAACTTTGGTGGACCTGCTTGCTGTCTACTATCCTAGACCTAGGCTGTCAACTGGATGTTTTGCAGCAGCTGCTGAGTCATCATGAATAATAAGGAGCTTCATGACATGGCATGTTTCGTACTATGTTATTTGATGAAGTATCCGAGGGTTTCTGGGCAAAAATGAAGCGTTTGGTTGTGTAGTAGAAAGTTGTATTATGAATGAAATGTCTGGCACTGTTATTGGATATTTGCCAACCTAGCAGGCCAACTAGCCACTGCAGTCCCTTGGTACCTGTGACTTTTGCATATATTCAGTTGACTTGTAATTTCCTGTTTTGACTTCTGGTTTAGCTTTGCTGGGAAATGTCTGATATTTAGCATTTCCCCTTTAAGCTTCTGTTCTTTAAAATATTATTGTGCGTGAAGAAGTGGAGACAGAGATCCTTTGTATTGTTCAACTAACTGAAGGGTAATTACCCTTAAGAACTGTAGAAACAAAAATGAAGAATAGCTCTGAACACGCAAGTTGATGGTTTTCATTTGCCTGCTCTCCCACCCCTTTACCTTTTAGCCCAGGCACTTTTATAAAGGGGAATGATGCTATTTTTCTAGTTGGGAGTGAGCAGGTCACTAAAGAGAATGTGATGAATTCTTGTCACCTGTTCAGTCTACTTTCCCGTTTCATTTTTTGTGCAGTTCTCTGGGGAGGTCAAGCTGGTTGTTTTTCTTAATAGCCACTACACAAAACTTCAGCAAAAGGGCAAGCCAGAACCTTGCCTCTGGAAGAAACTACTGCCACCTCCTGGTAAGAGGGTACCACTTATCTTTTCCCTTTTTTGGGTATGTGGTTTGCCTTGCTGATATGAAGCCAACGGGATCCACTTTTGATACTATAGTTTGTATCTTTATAAGTCAATCTCCATATTTAATTAATTTTAAAAAGGAGGACAGGGGCAAGTACCCCCTTCATCAATAGTTTACGTCATGTATTCATGAATTGTTTTCTATAAAGGAATGGTAGTAAAGTTTTAGTTTCTCTATATTGCTAGTTCTTTGTTTTCTTTTTATAACTTTAGCAAATGTTAACACCGTTCTTAACCTATGTTAAGAACAGGCAAAGGGCTAGATTTGCCGTGTAAACCAGTTGAGCCCTAGTTTATATGGTAGCATGATTCTTGTTTGTTTTGGTACTTTTCTCCAAATAAGTTATTGCCCTGCCTGATAGCTCATGGTTAAAGATTGTTCTCAGTTTTGAAAAGGAGGGATATTTAAAGGTTGAATATTAATTTATTCACTAAGTTTTGACGTCTCATGGAAATGGAAATAGTTAATTGAAAAAAAATACACTGATAAAACTAAACTGAAAAATTTTTTTTTTTTTTTTTTTTT